GTGACATTGGCTTGGCATGCAGGACTTTTACAATGCAGTTCTAAGATGAGGTGTACCCTTCTGTACTAATTGACTTCCATGGACTTTGAGGGTGAAGCTCTGCTTAGGATAGCACTGTTAGAATTGAAGGCAGGAAGAAGGTAAGGAGATTGCTTGAAGAAGTGATTGTCAAAGGCACTTTCAGCAGTCACTCTAGTAAGAAGTGTCATTCATTTAGCTGCTTATCAGAAGATCAGTGGACAGGCTTCTCAGCTTATTATTTATTTCCCACATTACTTATTCATTTCCCCATAGAAGAGGTTTTTTTCTACTTCTGAGGGTGGGTATAATGGGGTTTTGGGGGTTTTTTTTGTAGCTAGCTACATTTTCACCTATTCTCCCACTAATTTCCCAGCATATGAGACTTTAACCAAAGAAAAGTAAAAAAAAAATCTTTTGGATTCAAAAGGGAAACAACACATGAGTTTCAGGAAAATCTTTGTTCAGAAGTATTATTTATGGTATTTTGCTAAGAGTTTTATAAACAAAAGTCTTTTGCAGAGTTCTGAATTCTGGTATTTTAACTGATTATACTGCCCTTCACAGTGACAAGAATCATAGGCATAATCTTCATCTTGGGTTCTGGGATTTTTAGATAAAATATTCAGTTCCAAATCGAAATGAAGAGGAATAATGTATGGTTTTACATTTAAGCAATGTTTATCCCAAACTAAGCAATAGAACAGACTAGATTACTGTTTCATCTGGCAATGCAATCCTAACCCCTTTCTCTGATCATAGATACACTGGAATAATTGTGAGATATGCTAATATGTCTGAGGGTAAACCAGTTCTAAGCTGTGCAAGCACCATCTATGTGCAAGCACCAGTACTGGCATAGAATTGAGTAGCCCGTCACAAAGGCTTCATCAACATCCTATGCCTCTACAACCCTGGTCATGCCCCCTGATTCTGATTACAGACATTTCTAGTAGAAGTTATGCTGTTTACCAATGTACATGCCAGTCCCATAGTTGGAAGGGTGGCATGACATAAATTAACTTAAATGCACAATTAATTTAAGTCCTGGATCTTCATATTACAGGGTTCACTTTTTATTCTGTAGTTGTGCCTTTAAAAGCAACTTGCTATGCAGAAATTAGCAGAAGACAATGTTTATCCCCATTCTAAAAAAAAAATCCATGTAATTCCTGATTCACCTAATACCTTCTGCATATCAAACTACATCAAGCATTGTAGGTTGATATTTGTTAGATGCTAAATAGCATAGGAGGAAAAGGGGTCCCAGTTCTCTTTCCATATGTTTGTGTCAATATTTCATTAAAAGTATACATTTTTATGAAGCGAGAATTTGAAGACTGAAGACAAATTGAAATAAATACTAATGTGGTACTTGAGTTATAGCTGCTGAATGACACCTTATTTGCATTACTGATTATGCTTCTATTTATTTATTTCTTAATTAACAGAAATTACACTTCTACGTTTCTCCTGGGCATCTTAGGGCCCAGTGTGGGGAACAATATAAAAACAATTTTATAAGCATTAATACAACTGATGTAAAAACAATAAAAATCAGTCTAAAAACAACTTCAATGCCAGTAGCTCACAAAGTAGAATTTCTGCTCACAAGACTCCACAGTTTGCAGGGAGCATTGATCCCAATGTAGCTGGAAAAAGATAGGGTTGCCAGCCTCCAGGTGGGGCCTGGAGATCCCCTGATTTTACATCTGATCTCCAGCTGAGAGAGATCAGCTCCCCTGGAGAAAATGGCTGCTTTGAAGGGTGGAGTCTATGGCACTGAGGCCCCTCCTCTCCCCAAACCCCGCCCTCTCCTGGATCCACTCCCAGAGTCTCCAGGTATTTTCCAACCCAGATCTGACAACCCTAAAAAAAAGCATATTTTGCTGTTATGAATATCTGTTTCTCTAACAGGAGAATAGAATCCAACAAGTTCCTCAAGCTTCTAGCAGTTATTGACTATTAATAACAGAGCATAGCAGACCATAAGTAATCTACATTTTTATTTTATTCTCCTTGAAACTTGTCAATTCCTGATTCCCCACCTCTTCATGTAGGGAGAGGAATATAGTATTCATCAGTGGCAGATGAGATTGAACCTCCAGGAGAGATTATTTACAATTGTAGGAGATGAAATTTGCTTGGAGGAAAATACCTGGGCAAAGTAAAATGAATACAGACGAATTCCAGAACAGGAGCCATGTCTCTCTGTAGTTGTATGAAGATAAAAGAGGTTATGGCAAAGTCAAGACTTTATTGTTTTGAACTTTTGTAGACCATGGACTACTTTGGGTCATATGTGGCTGCTATTGGTAGCTGGCCAAATGTTTGACAATTTCCCTGTTTTTGCAGTTCAGGCAGGTTGCAAATACAGGTTTATTAAGCTTATGTTAAGCGGCCAGAATAACTTGTGGACTGTTTTGGGGTTTGGTTTATCACAAGTTGTACAGACTTGAACTGTTTCAGTAAAATTGTGAAGTGGACAGAGAATGTGCTACGGATAGATAAATTGATAGATATAAATGAGCTGGTTTTGAAATACATTATGAGAATAAACTAAGAAACAGAAATGAATAACTGTACAATGAGGGTGGGTGGGAGTGGTCCTTCTATTTTGATAAATAAGGGAGAGGCAGCAATGTGGAGGAGAGTAAAATGTGAAATAACTAAGAAAAATACAAGCTGAGGTTAGGAATGGAAGGTCATCACTTTCAAAGTATGTCCTTGGTACTTTTTTGCCTCCCCCTGAAAACTGGAGAAGTCGGTAGAACGTACATATCCTTACTTCGCCTGTCCTAATTGAGAAAGAACTCACACTAACTTTAATGTCTGGGAAATAATAATAATATGGAACACACAAAGAACGGTATATGGGAAAGTATTTTGGACACTGAAGCAAACATTTTGTAATGACTCTGTTTTAGAGTAGGAGTAGTGGTTTCTATCTTGGTATGCAAATTTGAGGTTGCTTTTAAGGATAGCATCACTGACTCAAAAGGGCTGCTCTCACTTGACACAGTGAATAATGCTAGTTGTAGAAAAAAATTACTGAAGGGCTAGTTTTGACATTCTGGGTTATCAGCAATGCCATGACAAACCCTAGTTATTTATTTAATGGGCTAATGTCTATATTTGTTCAGTAAGGGTTGTTCTCGGCATTTTTTATTTCCAGGAAGAAACATGCTAGGGTAAGGAGCCGATATCGCCTGAACATTAATAACTAAGTGCTAGGAACTGAATCTTGACACCTGATGTAATTTGCTTAAGTATACAATGCTCATTTTCTAGATGCAACACAACATATGTTTGTTAAAGAACACTTTTGTTTCAAAACTGTGTTGAAGTCATGGAAAAACTAGCAAGATCCCGTTGCTGTTGCTATTACATAATCAAAGCAGGTTTCAGGTTCTGGGGGCATTCCATTCAGTGCTGTACCATTTGTCAGCTGTTGCGAGATAAAATTCCATGTGTTGGTATCTGTGAACATTTTGTAGTCCACAAATGACGCACTTTTGCAGTCTCTTCTAAAGTGCTTTTGTAGCTAGAGTTAGCCTTAATTTGTTTCATTTTATTGCTTTATTGCCATTCATTTGGTGCACTCTGTAACACAAAGATAATCTCAACTGGGGGGAAAAGTACAGACTGTTCTAAAACTTGATACTTGGTGAATGTAAAGCTACTATATAATATAAAATGGTGCAGGACATATATAGATACAGTTTTCACAGCATGGAACAGCTTGGCAGGCAGATCTGAACAGGCTGCTACAGATACGATTGAGCAAAAAGAGGTCAGCACTTTCTGATACATAGTTGTAATATTTTGTTTGTGTGAAACAAAAGAAAAGGGTAATATGTTGCTAGGTGAGATTAAAGTAGTTTTTGAAACGGATATTCTTTTATGCCAGCATTTTCTAGAGAGCCAGTTTGGTGTAGTGGTTAAGTGTGCGGATTCTAATCTGGGAGAACCGGGTTTGATTCCCCACTCCTCCACTTGCACCTGCTGATGTGACCTTGGGTTAGTCACAACCTCTGGCACAGCTGTCCTTGAAAAAGAGCAGTTTGTGTCAGAGTTCCCTCAGCCCCACCCACCTCACAGGGTGTCTGTTGTGGGGAGGGAAAGGGAAAGGAGTTTGTAAGCCCCTCTGAGACTCCAAGTGAAGGGCGGGGTATAAATCCAATCTCCTCCTCCTCCTCCTCCTCTTCCTCTTCTTCTTCTTCTTCTTCTTTTTCTTCTTCTTCTGTTGAAAAAATGTACCCAAGCATGTTTCTTCCATTTTGGTTTTGATTCAGTGATTATCTGTACTGATGAGTTCAGTCAGGGAAAGATGCAGATGGTCACATATCTTCTCTGCTTTCCCTCTTCGGAGAATTGTGGCTGGGTAGGACTGTGGATGGGCAAGACTATGGCTTAATGTCAGAGCATCTGGTTTGCATGCAGGAAATCACAGTTAAAAGAGCCAGGTATAAGTAATATGAAAAACCTCTCCTTGACACACAGGAGAGCCACTGCTCAGAGCAGATAACACAGACCTTGATAGACCAATGGTCTGACTCATTGTAAAACAGTTTTATATGTATACTCCCAGCAGCCATTTTGGAACCTGAGAAAGTTGACTCCTGGGATTGTGGGGCATGCACTGAGTAATAGCCACATGGGTCAGTGGGCCACAGTGAGGAGGAGAAATTGTGCTTTCTGCCACGTCAACCTCTTCTGTCATCAGAGCACTGCAGTTCATCAACTTGCTGCAATCCATCAACTCACATCTGTTACTCAACTTTCCTGTGGCTGGAAATGGCTGGGGAAGGGGGGCTTGAAAGATTCATCATCCCTGCAAAAGAAATTGCAATCCTTGCTTGAGCAAATTGCTGGATCCAGTCCATTGTTTCTTAGAATTTCACAGAAATGGTCTTTTAGTTAATTAAGGAAATGTTTTTGATATTTTGTTTAAGATCCTAAAACACCTCTCTTCTATCTAGGCCTAAATGTCACCATGAATGGCAACTGATCGGGAATCCCAAGATTAACCAAAACATTTGAAGTGCGGAAGGCAGAAGAAATCTAATATACCACTAACACTGTTGTGTAGCCATGGCAGACCCTTCAGCAGAGGTACCTTTTTCTGTGGTGACTCAAATGGAATTAATTGAGGTAAGTTGAAACAGTTCATAAAATGGCAGACCTTAATGGAATGTTGTATGTCTGCACAGCTTTCAAGCTTAGGTTTCAGAGCTTTTATAGTTCGAAGTTTATGCACCATACTAAATGCCAGGTAGTCATGGTGCTCCTTTCTGCACATATTGGGAAGTTTCAGAGGGGTGATTTCTGCGAACGTATGTGTAAATAACATGGCACCAAAAAAAACAGTGCCACAGTAACGTGACTGTGTTGCAGTAGTAGGGAATCCATATACTTTTACCAGATGTATTCCCAGTAAACATGCTTATGTGTTTGGAAAGGAGCATCACATGTGCTAAACCAATAAATTGTTTACTGCATAATGGCATATAAGAATGGAAGAGAAATTATTTGCCCAGACTGGCAATAATTTATTTTGTGTATGTGTGTATGTGTGTGTGCGCCCCCATGCCTCGAAGTCATGGCCACCTCTGGCGACTCCTACTGGGGCACAAAGAACATTCAGAGAAGTGGCTTGATAGCCTGCCTCTACCTCCCGGCCCTGGTATTCTTTAGAGGCCTCCCATCCAAATACTTGCTAGGGTTGGCCCTGCTTAGCTACCAAGAGTTGAAGAGATTGGGTTTACCTGGACTATCCAGGTCAGGGCTAGTTTTGCAATGAAACGGATGGGCAGCTTCTGCCTTTCAGAGGTTTAATCTGGCAGTGGTGCATTTTCCTTGAAGACTCAAACTGAAAACAAAGGCGACTGTTATATCATCAGCGGATCAAAGTTGTGGATTAGTTTTGCTGAACGTGCAGGAGTTTTTTTTATGATAGCAAATGCAAATCCTTCTACTGGAGGTAAAGGAATTATATGTTTCATTGTTGACTGAGATACAGAGGACTTACATGATGTAAGAAAGAGGAGGATAAACTCGGAATCGGAGAAACCTCCACGTGTCCTGTAACATTTGAAAATGTGAAGGTGCCTGAGACCAAGATACTGGGGCAGATTGGATAAGTACGCCATTGGAATACTCGACACGGGCAGAGCAAGCAGAGCTGCACAGGGAGGCTTTGATCACATTATTCCATATACAAAAGAAAATTAGAAGCAGTTTATCTCATTGGTAGAATCCTTGATTACGTCTGCCCCAGTACCAGATCAAAAAGCCAAACAATGGCTGTATGTTTCATGTAAAAAACCCTGAACAAGATCAGTGTATTAGTTAGTAGACTGCAATGTACCATACGAAGTTTAACTTCTACAACTATAGTGGCACAGGTCCTGCCTCTCTCAAAATATTTGCTGGATTTTCTGTCTATTCATGTTGAAGTCTGTCAAGTTGCTAACACCATTTTATTCTGAAGGAAATGTTTGTCTGCCTACATTATCACATGCTGTTCTTTTGTTTTACTTCTTGGCATCTGCTTTAATTTGGGGTGTTTATTAGAATAAGCATACAAAATTTATTTATTTATTTATTCTTAAAGTTGTAAATTGTAGTAAAGTATGTACCCTGAACTGTCTAAAATTTTATTCACATGACAGTAGTAGTCTCACTCTCAACACATTAATTAAAAGGCAGTAATAAGGCAGCAATACTCAGTAACACTCATTTACATGTTAGTGGGATAATATAAGTGGTCAGTCACCCAAAAGCTTGAAAATGATGAGTAAGTAGAATGAGAATGGCCGAATTTAATTGAATGTCATTGCTTGTTTTCTAACCCCTTTTCTTGAAGGATGTGGAGTAGGATGAGGTAGATTGTTGCTTAAAAGTTGCTAAGTTGGAGAGCGTATGATCTGATTATGATACAGTGGCTTTCAAAAGAGACAAAATCAACAACTGCCCATACACCCACATTCTCTGTTTTGGCCCCCACCTTATGTAATGGCCTGCCTGATAAGGTGAGGAAAGCTCCCACTCCTTAGGCTTTCCACAAACTATGCAAAACTGAATAATTCAGTTTACACAGGTGGTAGGGCAATACTGTAACAACTTGGTTCAGAAGGATGCTTTGGTAAAAGGGTTAGGGACTATGGACTATACTACTATGTATAATTCATATTGTCTGTTGCTCTAAGTAGGATACTGCTATGTAATGTTTGCTTCATTTGACATGTCATGGTAATCCTTATGCTTTGTTTTGGTTCTGTTCAGATTTCTGCTCGATTCCACATTTCTGCAATCCAAAGCCTATTGCACTGTTTATTGGATGTCCCATCCTGTGATTGTATTGATTTACACTGTAATCTGCTGCAAGTCTCAGTGAGAAAGGCAGACTATAGATAAATAAACAATCTGTGGCATTTAGCATGGTGCACAACTGTGGAGATCTGTCCTTGGCTGACTTATTGTTGAACTGCTGCATTTCTTCTGAAACATTTTGTTCACGTTGTAGTCAGGATTCTACTGCAAGGATTTTCATATTTTATAAAGTTAGACCAGTATACAACTTGGGCTGCTTCCACACGGGGGATAAGTTCCCATTTTGTTCTCATTATTGCCATAAATGCAGAGGGCATTCTCATCAACAACAAACCTTTTGCATCATTTCTCCATGCGTTCCCCTCTAACTCACCGTTTCCCTAACTGCCTCCAGAGGAGGTTTTGCCTTTTTTTTTCTTTTTTTTAAAGACTAGTAGTAGCAAGGGCAGCCCTGGCCTGGATAGCCCAGGACAGCTCGATCTCATTAGATCTTGGAAGCTAAGCAGGGACAGCCCTGTTAGTATTTAGATGGGAGACCATCAAGGAATACCAGGGTTGCTATGCAGAGGCAGGCAATAGCAAACCACCTCTGAATGTGACTTGCCTTGTTAACCCTACAGGGTTGCCATAAGTCAGGGTTGCTGTAAGTTGGCTGCAACTTGACGGCAAAACAAGAACGGAGTAGCAATATAACTACGGTAGTAGAATTCTATAGTAATAGATCTACTACCGATCTACTACCGATAACAAAATAGCAGACAAAAAGTGAAGAGTGTGGGGGGAGACAAATGGTGGATGCAAGAGGAAATGGTGCCAGGTGTGGGTGGGGAGGTACAGAAACCTACACTTTCCCTCCACCATTTTCCAAAACTCATTTTGGGTAAGTTCATACTAAAGCATAACAGACCCTGGGAAAACCCAGAAGGTGGACAGCCATATCACATTGTGAGAAGGCCCAGTTTAAAACCACTGCAGTTTGAGAGGGGAGCAAGAGTTCTCTATGGAAGAAACCTTGGTCTTCATACCGTCTTACCTCTGACTACATTTGTGTGTGTGCGCGTGATACACAGGATAGAAAAAAACTCTGTGCACATGGAATTATTTTAAAATTGTGCGTAAAGGAAATACTCCAAATTGATACAATTTCATGCTGAGAAAATATTTTTATTTTAATAAAATCTGTTTTTCATATATTTTCATGCTCTTAAAAACCTTTTAAAGATAAATGCTCTCCGCAGGACAAGAAAAATTGCAGAAAAGCTTTTGATATTAATGATATTCATATTATATTATTATAAGGTGTACATGCTGTTCTAGGTTTTTATAGCTATTCGGGGGATATTACTGAGTTACACTTGTTGTTAATGTGCTGTTTTCGGTGTATTGTGTACAGCATTTGCTTGTACAATAGTAGATAATTGCATTTCATTTACTCACTAATTTACCCTTGACACATTCTTTACTGTCCCACATGTGTCCATTGCTCCATAAAAATGGAGTCTTTTGCCACCAACCCCCTCATCCTTCATAGTATGCCTTTTGGGGAAGAAGCAAGTTGGTGCCAAGAGACATATTGGTGGTTGCCACGGCACCCACTGGCACAACTTTTTGCTGTAGAAATAGTATAGGTGGTTCTCGTTTAGAACTATTGACACTGGAATAATGTAATCTTTATTTCAGTTAACCTATTAAAAGCAAGGTGTCAGGTCACAGTGCGTCATCTGTAAAGTTTACAATTCATCACTGCAAGTTTATCTCCTTGATAGCTAGCTCGTTATTTGACACAGAAGTCAAAAGGGGGAAGACATCTTTTTTTTTTTTTTTTTTTTTTGTCTTTTAAGAATGGATGTACTGCAAAACAAAAAAAGTGTTAATGGCCTGGCCAGGTATGTTCTGTTAGAACTCTTGTAGTCAAAAACCTTTTTACCTGTTGTATTACAAAATTGGATATACTTCATATAAATCTCTATCTGTTCTCCTTTTCACAGAGATTATTTGGAAAAATGCAATAGCTTTTTAAAAATAATCAACCTCTAAGAAACTCCTGAACACTACTTTTGTGTAAACACTGTGCCCAAGCCACATCTGATTCTATCCACAGTATAGATGAATGTAGGTCTTCTTAACTTAGAGTGGGTTTAAAAGAACTTTACAACTCAGTAGAAAACATTTTATATTTCCCTCAGACGGATTTCATTATAATCTATTATGTTCATCACCAAAGACTAGTGGTTACTATGACACTATACTACAGTTTGCTTCTCTGTTGTACTAAAGCTTCAATTAAAAAAAAAAGGTTTGTTGAATGTAAGTATTGCCAATTTGGTCTGACCTATCTGTCTATTCTGACCAGGTTGCAGGAGAAGAGGACAATGTTAATGCACTCTGGGTCATCACTGGGGAGAAAGGTGGAGTAGCTGATATATATAATTGCCCTAATGCATTGGCCATTTCCCACACTCTTATTGGCTGTGCTGTGCGCTACATCAGCCATTGGCCCATCAACCGCCAATCAAGAGTACTCGCGTACCATTAGCTGGTTCTGGGTTCGCTCCTCTTCCCCACCCACTGCCGCCTCAGCCACTGTTCTGTGTAAGAAACTGCCAAAACAGCTGACTCTCCTGACAAAGACACTTCTCTTGCTTGGCTGCTGTGGAACTAACTTTTCCCACAGTGGCTGTTGCTAGGCAACCAAGCTTGGTTCTGTCAGTAAAAAGGCAAAGCCAGGAGGGCCTTTCCAGGCCTTTGTGGGGAACTCATTGGGTCCAGTCCTGACTAGGGTTGCCAGCTCCTGGTTGGGAAATTCCTAGAGATTTTGT